TCTTCTTCTTATCATAGCATACCAACCAGCGAACACCCAGCCAAGTTTAGTTAGCCAGTTTGAGTATTCGTTACACTACGTACCCCTAGAACGCCTTAAAGTACCTCTATATAACGTTGAATACTAGTATAAGATAATAGATACTAGCGTAGAGGAAATTAGAAGAGCTCCTATACTTATTATACTACTAGGTACTAGCGATATATTCTATAGTTAGCTTAAAAGAACGACTTCTTATTTCGATACTATTTATAAATACCTTAACCTCGGCATTAGTATATTAGTTTTAGTAGAATAATTAAGTAACTCTCGAACGTAAGGATTTAATACTCACGGAAATCTATAGAATATATATATATCTTAGAGGGTTTATTAGGGTAATAAGTAAATAGTACTAAGTTCCTTAGAGGAGCGTAGGATTTAGAGATTTAATTAGATATTATTATCGTTACCTTTAACTTTATAAAAGTAATTCCTAAAGCAGCTTCTTACTCTCGTTTTAGTACTAACTCCCTAACCTAATTCCTATACTGTTGGTACGACCTGGTTGTCGTAAAGGGTGATACACAAACATAATCTCTCTTTGTATTCATTCGTGTATGAAGAGTAAAGGTAAAGAGAGGTGGTACCCTAAAAGCTTAAGTATATGAGTGGCAAGCCACTCACATGACCTAAGGCATATAGATCCACCAGGCTCTTGTACAAGGTGCTATTCACCAGAATTATATACCGACATATACTTATTATATTAAAAAGGTAGGAAAATTTACGTAATCTAGCTTAATATACGCTTGTTTATAGTAATAATGAATTAAGGTTTTAAGGTCCTTAAAGCTCTCTTTAATTAGATTAAATTAAGGATAGTATAGAGGTAAACACTCGATTATTACGCTACGTCTTTTGTATATCTCCTTAACTTGTTTACTCTAATAGATAGCGTAATTATCTAGGATAATTATATTATACTCTCTAAGAATAATATTATATTAAGGTAATATTATAAACTCTAGCCACTCCTTAAATATCTCCGCTATTATTACGCTTGATATAATTAAAGGCGAAAGCTATCTATCTAACGTATATACTAGTAATATAGACTAGACTCGTAATCTCTTTAAAAACCGCTTTCCTCGTACTCGTATACTTATTAGAGCCTATCTATATCGACGTAATCCTATAGCTTCGTTTAAGGTAGATTCTTTAAAGAAAACAAGTTGTTTTAAATCCTAGGTACTCGATTTATCTCTCTATCCTTATATTAATTAAACGTCTTACTAACTTATAACATAGGTAAGCTTTTTATATATTATCCCTATTGATTTATATATCTTTACATCTACGATTTAGATAGTATAAGGTTGAACTTATTATATATATAATCTGCTATCTTGTCTCTTATCAATTTGTTATCTTGTTAAAGGAGGTCTAGGATATATTATTTAATATCCGGATTATCATACTCTAGTACACGTCCTAGCTTATACTTGTACCGTAGAATTAGAGCTAAAGATATCTCCTCTAAAAGCTCCTCCTTAATATATCGAATAGACCTAGAAGTACAAGAGAACTCCTTTGCAATACCTTCGAAGTTAGTAGGACCAAGGGCGGCGGAGTTACGAATACTATCTTTGATACCTTGTCGTCGAGCTAGGTCGATTTGGGGGGCTATTTGGCGTAGAATATATTCGTATATATAGATAACATTAATAGTATTAATAGTATTACAAATTGAATGGAATAACGTGCATGTATAGCGAACCGGCCAAACAAGCGAACCGGCCAAAATTTTCTACGCTCGCGATTGAAATTGTAAGAACTCTACCACAACGCCTCTAATCAAAAAACACTATTCAGAAATTTCTTCCTCAGATACTTCCTCTATAATATTACAGGTGCGCGTATTATGACCAGTCTCTCCGCAGTTGCCACATCGCCGTGCACGTGATTCTTCCCTCGGCTTCCGACCACTACTTCTCTTTATTTCCTGCATTACCTGCTCACCAACGTCTCTGTCATCCTGTAGGTCCTGCGCCTCCTGTTGACTAAGTGATCCATCCTCCTTGCTGTAGGCGTATTTTTTTAGCTCTACGGCGCTTACTTAGTACTTCATTTGCTTGTCGAAGTCTCTGGTTCTCAGCTTTCAATAGTACTATCTGGT